TTTCGAAAAGTTTTCTCGCTAACCGGGATAATTTTTGCCCATATGAACAAGGCCTATGCGTCTGCCGGTTGAGAAACATAAAATAATAGTTAAAAATTCGGCAGGTACAAAACGCAGGTTGCAGGTTGCAGGTTGGAATTTTGCAGGTTGGGAATTTTGCAGGTTGGAATTTTGCAGGTTGGGAATTTTGCAGGTTGGAATTTTGCAGGTTGGGGATTTTATAGGTTGGATTTTGCAGGTTGACAGGAATTTTGCAGGTTGATGATGCAAACTGAAAATTACACTACTATAAAGTATTCTAGTATAATTTTATTGTGTACTTATTGCAGTCTGACTCCTTGTCGCCGCTTTTGATACCAGCCTATCCTGCCGGCCATGTTGCTAGCCTCTGCTCATCATCCTTGTGAAAACATTCAAAATGACCAGATTGGCTTGGATCTTCAGGGGGACGAATGTTTCGATTGTTGCGAGGAGCCTACATGACGTGGTGGCAGTTCAGAAAATGCCTGAATGAGGTGTCTCTCCTCTGCACCCACTTATGAGACCACTCAAGCCCCCAATTACCGTATCTTTACTCAAGAGTTAGTTAACTTTTAACAACATTCTAGTATAAACGCCGCCACATCATGTAGGCACCTCGCAACAATCAAAACATTCGTCCAGGGGCGTAGGAAGCTTCTAAAAGTTGGAGGGGGGGGGGGCAGGCTTTGAGGGGAATAAAAGAGGGCATCTAAAAATTTTTTCCCGGAAATGTTGGCGACGGGGGTGAGGTATCAAAAAATTTTTCCGGACATACCAAAAAAAAATTTTTTCGGATATATCCAATTTTTCTAAATATGAAAAAAAATTTCCGGAAATACAAAAAAAATTTTCGGACATCACATTTTTTCCGGAAATGAAAAAATATTCCAGAAAATAACATAAATTCAAGTTTCAAAAAGTGCACTTTGGGCAAGAAAAGGCAATCCTTGAAACATTTTTAACGCAAAAAAAGGGCACTTTGCTCCCGGAAAAAGGGCACTTGGCAAAACTTGGGGGCCTGGCCGCCCTGCCGCCCCCGGTTCCTACGCCCTTGCATTCGTCTCCCTGTAGGTCCAAGCCAATCTGGTCATTTTGAATGTTTTCACGGGGGTGATGGCCACTAGCCTTAGAGCAGAGGCGCCGACAAGGAGTCAGACTGCAATAAATGCACAACTAAATTATACTGGAATACTAAAAAAGTGGTGTAATTTTAAGTTTGCATTATCAACCTGCAAAGTTCCTGCCAACCTGCAAAATTCCAACCTGCAAAATCCCCAACCTGCAAAATTCCAACCTGCAAAATTCGCAACCTGCAAAATTCCAACCTGCAACCTGCAACCTGCGTTTTGTACCTGCCGTTAAAAATTGCCAATTAAAATACAATTATCAATGATGCCTTAAAATGGACGTTATATTTACAGCCATTTAAGCAAAACGTACTGAACGTCAGGCATCATTTTCTCTTTGGCGTATCATCTAAAATCTCTTCATTTTAGCATTATTTTACTGATAAAGCACTAAAAACATGCTTTTTAAGTTTTTTTACCGATTGAGAAACGTATCGAAAAATAAAAATTTTGATTTTAGTCATAATCTCATGTGGTATACTATTTGCATTAGTTTTGAGCGCGTGTTACGTAACATACAAAAAACTCGTATAAAGATTTGGGAACAATGCTATACCGGGGCAGCATTCACTACCCTGTGGGTAAACTAGTTATGAATATATGCGTCGTTTATTGAAGCAAGGGGGTTCATCTTCAATGGTTTTAGACCCAACTCTCAACGGTGAAAATATGCGATTCTGACTAACATTTTTTATTGGATTAGTATTTGCTCATTTTTTCTCCATTTGGCATGAAGAAGATATCATTCAACAGCTAAAAGCACGATCTTTCCGAATATGAAAAAAATTCTTTCATACGCAGAGTAATTCGGATAACAACAGCGCGCTGAAGTTCGATTACCTTTTTTATCATTTTTTTTATATGCCTTTCAGTACAATTAAATATAAACAGTCATGGGTGTCTGCAGGCCAGCCTGGACACTGGACAGAGCAAGGGGCATTTAACCATGTTTTTTGCCCGCACCCTGGGGAATTTGATGATGGTTTTCGCCCGCACAGTGGGGAATTCATGACCAATATTTTTTCGAAAAGTCAAATTCCTGAGGGTTCGCCCGGGGGGAGGCCGGGAGGGGATGATCGCAGTTGGAATTGCTTGGTACATAATGGAGAGGTCAAGATATGCCAGATCACCAATTGAGTGGCAGCACGCTATCAGGGCACATTGACAATTGTCACTTAAAGGGTTAATCTTTACCATGTTTGATTTAGCTAAAGTGCAATTTATAGTTCTCTTAATTAATCAATTTTAGAAGTGCTTGTCCAGGTGAGAGGTCTGGTAATATCATGCACTAATTATTTTCTGGGCTAGATTCCTCTAATTAGGGCTGTAAATTTCCCCACAGTTGATGTGCTTAGCACTCACAGCAAAGCAGACTCTTGAAGGGGGGCTTGAAGATACTGCTTTTGAAAAGCTCTAACCGGCTACAGAGCTGTAACCGCAAGTTCATGTATACATAGATTTTTGGGTGTGCGGGTTGTGATAAAGTGAAGTTGATGACATGGCACATCTTTTAAGTGTTGGAAAAAGGCAGATTTTTTGTTAGCTGAGATTCGGTCACAGGTGGTATCATTGAACCAGGGACGTGCTGGTGTGTGAGGACAACGAAATATGAGCAACGTCTGATGGGGCCCAGGGCCCATGATGGCAGGGGCCCACAACGAGTTCTCGTTGGCTCGTCCCTAGCCAGCACGTCCCTGCATTGAACATTAAATAACATTCATTGTTACATGCAAACCACTGGGAAAAGATAGTGAAATTCATACTATGGAATTTGCAATTGCATCACTAAATCCCAATCGTTAGTGTATCCATACTGTTTCCATAATGTATATTTCCATATTTCCCTACTATTTCCATATTTAATATTTCCACAGTAAGCATTTTGAAAAGAAATTTTCTAGTGAACAGTGGTGTAAGAAGAATTCAAAATCCATTTTATACTTAAAGAAACTTCGATAATTGCTACTTATTTTGTAATAAATAGTTAACATTTTAATTAAATACAAAGAGCCGATTCCACAACTTAACTTATAGTTTTCGAAATCTTCATCTATTTGGTATAAAGTGGAAACACAAGTCAATGTCACGTGACACGTCGAAGAAGTCACATGACCCGTCGAAGAAGTCACATGACCCGGCACAGCCTCTGGCCTCGCTTCGCATTTTTCGTTCAGTTCATGTCGTCTTGAGACGAAGGATTTTACATCGTGCGTGTCAAATAAGAAGAGTTAGGAGTAGTATGTAAGTTTTTCTATTTGACTTTTAATACTTATCAGTAAAGGCTTTCTTTAGCTATATCAACAAAGTTTAGGTTAGAAAAAGGCATGGCATCAAACAAAGATCGTTGAAGAAGGCGTTTCAGCGTCATCGTCAGTTAGAAGCGAAAGTAACAAATGCATGAATAAATTGGCAACTTTCGGTCGTTCTAATGGCTGCTAAAGTTATTTTATATATAAGGCTAGAATATCGGTTTGTCTTAACACATTACGAATTAGTGAAGATAATTGTGTATGAAAAAAGTGTTTTTCGATGATATAAGATAGTGGTCTTCCCGCTTTTCAATAACGAAACTTAAAATTATATTTTAATTCGTCTTTCGGAGAATTGATTTAATGTGACGAATTTACCTCCCGAAAGTATAGAGTACGTTATAAAAATAATGGTTATGCTATCGTTCACGTAAATGTTCTTATTCTTTTCAAATAGTGCCTATAAACGCTTCGTTTATACTTACTCTTCCTTGGAAACCGTCGGATCGGAACACCTTAAATAATTTAATACGTGTAACCATCATGATATAGCTATTATGTTACCTGTCTGTCGCGTGTATATGATGGAATTTGACCTTCTAGGTTTTCGTAATAGTACTTCGTTAAAAAAATTAATAACTACTAAAAAAGTTTAAAAATGCTAAAGTTGTGGTTTATAATTGTGAAGCAGATGAAGTCGCTTCTGACTGCGGTTCTGTTTTATACTGTTAATATTTTTTAATTGGTTACAGCGGTCAGCACTTCAGCCAAGTGTAGAATACAATTTGATATGTAGAAGGTTTTATGATGGCAATAGATTTGTGTACAAGTGTATACTGGTGGCATAGATAGATATAACACTTGTAAGGCCCGGTTTACCCACAATTGCAAATGACAGAAAATAATATGGATTTGACTCTGACGAAAAACAATTGATTGAGTGTCAAAGAGAAAATCAACAGTGCTTCGTGATTTAATGCTTACTCTTAGTGCTTCACTTGCTGAAGGTTGTTCTGTCGAAGTAAGTGAAAAACAAGCTAAAGGCATTGAGAAATCCCTTGTAGCCATCAATCTTGACAAAAAACTCCTACGAAACAACTGAAATTGACGATAGTGTGAACGCCATTCAACAACAACAAGTGCTATTATTGCAACCTCGTCCCCAGGGCCTATTGAGGAAGGAGGCGAAGCAGCAAAGGCCCTGGTAAAGGCTGGTCACGTGATGCTTCAAATTTTGAATATTTCAGAATATTTAACTTTTCAAACCGGGGGTGCGGGCCGCTTTGATTTTATCAAACATGGCCGTGTAAAGGGTAGACTTGCTCCAAGGGTAGACTTGCTCCAAGTCTCTCTTTGTGGACATCTATATATTGTACATCTATATTGTACGCAGTGCTGTAATAGTTACTTATTTTTTGTAACTAGTTACAGTTACAGTTACATCATCAGAAAAGTAACTAGTTACCGATACAAGTTACAATTGAAAAAAAGTAACTAGTTACAGTTACTAAGTTATTTTAAAATTTTTGTAACTAGTTACAGTTACAATGGCAAAGTTACACCCATTCTTTTGGCTAATAGAATTGAGAAAACATGTTGTTAGTTAGACAAAATTTTTATTTAATTTGACCAGAAGAGAATTTTCAAAATTACGATCTGTCATTGAGGAACGATGTGGTCTAAAAATTAGTCCTGCACAGCTGAACAATCTTTCACAAGCTGCGCTTGCAGGCACCGGTGTGTTCAGTTCAATGAAAAGCTGGTGCAGCTTCGGCCAACTTGCATATACAGATAACTCTTCCGTGTGGCTTTCCAGAAATAACTGCAGCTCAGATGCACTTGTCTTCGTTTTAGTAAAGAAAAAATTATTCTCATCATCTTCTACAGAGGAAATCGACGTTTCAGCTTCTCGTAACGCTCCGACACCTGTGTCACTTTCAAGTCGATCATTGATGAAGTCCATACCTGCAATAAATAAAGAATAAAAACAATTTTATAGTTGAATAGATAAAAGAAAGAAGAAAATACCCTGTTATTCAACCACATTTTTTTCAAATATAGTTTGAACCCTGATTGATTGTGTCAGATAGCCAAAGCTGTCTATACCTTTCTTGAGCATATCTTCATCGTTTGTCCAGTTATCTTTAAACTTTGGATGAAGCAATGCCGCAGCAATTATCTTTTCGTCATCAAAAATATAATCGAATCGCTTGTCAATACCATCCAACAGGGCCGTCACTAGAGGTTTTACAGTCGCAATTCCATTCTTCTTCTGAAGTTTCTCTTTCAGCAAAGCGATGGTAGGTGCAAGGTATCCCATGTAGGCATTCGAGTGATTGCATTCTCCTTGCAATATGTTTAACGCTTGTGCCATGGGCTTCATGACTTGGGCATAATCTTTCAAGAATTGAATCTCACCTGGTTTCAGTCTGAAAACAAAAACTGAAATTTTAACACACATTTAATGTACAAATAAATAGTACTGAGAAATGAAAAAGATTAGAACAGTTATTATATGAAATAATTATTCTTGCTTTAATTTTCATTTTTCAGTATTATTTAGAAATGTCTTAGTGGGATGGTGTTAAACCTTTAAATGGAAAAACATGTTGCATGAAATTATCTGCAGCAACATGTTGCATTAAAATAGTTAGTAGAAATCTGTATAACATCATCTTAAGAAGTTCTTACGTCGTACTTACTTTGAAACATTAAACTCAGCATAGAGTTTGTGAATGGCATTTTCACCCTTTGTCTTGACAATGTGGTTTAGTCGTTCAACAGCCATGAAGACGGAATTCCAGCGTGTTGCATTGGGCTTCAGTAGAACGAAACTGCACTCTCCTTGGACAACTTCAGCAGCTTGAGTTGACCGAGATGCTTTGTTCCAAAGAGCCTGGCATTTTGCAAAAGTTCCCCTTGTTAACCGTTTGTAAGTAGGATCTTTCTCAGCCTTCTCTGCATCCACTGTCGATATGAGATTAAGGGTGTGGGCAGCACAGCGTTGATGAGGGGGAAGCTGATACTCGAAGCTTTCAGCTGCTTCAGTTAGGTCGCCATAAACATCATGAAAGGTGGATTCATCTCCCTCGGTCTCCTCCGGTTCTTCTGGTTGTTCTGAATTAACAGCAAAGACAGAAAATGCCTTTACAAAGTTCGACCCATTGTCAGTTGTGGTCTTGACAATCTTTGAGACAATTTCATACTCAGTATGGATTTCTTCAAGTTTTGCCGCTAGAACATCGTAGGTGTGCCTGCCTTTTAGACGATGGCATGCAAGAGCTGCGCTCACTCGGTTGAGCGTTTCGCTATCAGTCCAATGTGCTGTAACCCCTATATATGAACGGTGACGGGCGGTCCAACAGTCAGTTGTGGTTGCAACTTGTTGCACT